ATATGGCGAAAGCGTCGTCGTCGTAATCAAAAAGAAAAGAAAATAAAATGAAAAAAAAAAAAAAAACAAACAAAAAAGATCATAAAACTGAGAGAATGAAAACAAACATACAAAAAAGGAAAACAGCCTGAAATCGGGCTATCGATCGATGCCGTTCGTTATCGATATCGATGTCGCACTATCGTTTATTGTAAATGTATTAATTTTGTTGATTTTTTTGCTGTCTGTATACATTTTTTTTAACAACATTTTTAATAAATGTAATTCTTAAATAATTTCCTTTTTCGTTTCTTATTTTGTTCTTAGCTCTTGCGATTCCTCATGATTTCCAACCAAGCTTTTATTTTAATTTTTTTTTTCTAGCAATTCAATTGAAAATATTTCGACAATACTTACTATTTCGCATCGTCCTTCAAATTCTGAAGAAATAACAGAGCTGTTGCATACTTTTAGGGGCGCTCAGTGTGAGACGCAACAAGTTGAAGACGTGCGAAGCAAACGTGAACTGTATATAGATTGCCGTTCAGGGTATACGAACAGACCAACTGAATGAATCTTTAGCAATTTAAGCCAAACTATTCAAGTTTCCCTAGAGAAATTGCAAAGAGAATGACGCATCGAATCAAAATAGACTAAATTTCCTAGACTATCGAAAATTGCCTATAAAAAACAAGTTGAGCTTAACGACTTGAGCAGCACAGATAAAGGTTATTCCAGAAGCCCATACGTCATTGCATTCTCTACTGTAAATTTCTCTAGCCGTAACTTTATTTTTGTTTCTTTCCAACATGCTGAAAAGATATTCATAAAAAGAAATTTCCACTAAAGAGCTACGATTTCAGGACAACTAAAAGATAATATGGCAAAAATTGATAAATAATACCCCCAGTTTTGAACCGAGCCCAAAGCAACAACAACAAAAACCATTCCTAACGCCTTCCACACAAACGAAGCAAATACGCGCTCTCTCTCTCGCTCGCACATTCAAAGCACACACTCACACATGCAGACACACACAAACACTCATAGATACAGAGAATATAAATGGTAAAGTAAAACAAGTGAATAATATATAGCTAAGAGAAATGTAATTACGTTTAAAGCAAGAGTCTGACATCAAATTGCCTTCAAGAGACAGAAAAACAAAAGAGTTAAAAGAAAAAGAGAAAATGATAGAGAACAGATTTTCCACAGCGAAAGTTGTCTTTCAGTTTTTTTTTTTTCGTTTTCCGCATATGAAACGCAGCAGTTAAAAATGCATAAGAGTACATACTTAACGGTATATAACTGTATATGTATTAATGAAATATATATGATACGATTACGAATACGAATAATTAAATAATGGAAAAGTATAGTCAACATA